GAGAAGATAAGTAAGACATTATCATACATGTAGAATTCCCAGAACATGAAACACACACGCATTTGGATGCTCTTAGATTTGGGCTGACTTTTATTTATCATGCCAAAGACATGATCCCTGAAGGAAATCATTGATAAACAAAATCCATCTGCATGGAAATATTCTCTCTGCAAAAAAATGGTGCTTTGAAAATGAAGGTAAGCCACAGGTGGGGAGGTGGCGAGGCCACTGATAAAAAACTAATATCTAATCACAAAGAATGCTTAAAACCCATCAATTAGGATATGAACAGGTCAATGTCTTTAGTAGATGTCTCACCAAAGAGATAAACATCCAGAAAAATGTGCAAATGAAAAGTTGTCCTGCATATTATGTCATCTGATGAAGACCGACACTAAAAGGAAACCCCACACTAGCTCATAGTTAAATATAATAAAGGGTTATTTATTTAGGGGTAAACTCACAGATCACAGTCCTCTGCACGAAAGGGGAACAGGAACAGAATCATGCAGCTGGAAGAGAGGGCTACCAAGTGCTTTACATCAGCATTTATAGTATAAGAGGTCACGCCCAAGTGGGTGGGGAACTTAAAGGCTACTGGCTGTAGGATTTCCTACAACACCTCCCCATTTTGTTTAAATCAGAAAGTTCTAAGCATAATACAAAATTATATACAATAGGAACAAATATCAGGCATAAAAATTAGAATTACAACCAGCATAAACAATATCAAGCAAGAAACATGTGATAAATGTTTCAATAGTTACCCTATCCTAAGGAGTTTAAGTCTTGTATTATAAATAACTTGGCCAAGTCATGAGAGGAAAGTAACTATGACTATCTAGTCTTCAACCACAAGGGAGTCCCGAGAACAGAAATAATACTACCTGAGTAATCAGGAAGTGCAATCAAGCAACTTCCAAAATGTGCAACAAATGACAGAGACAACTGGCTACCAGGGCAATCACCCAAAGTCTCATTTGCAATATTGGAGTAACCAACTTTGGCTAAGGCCTAGAGTAACTGACAGACCATTTTCAGAGGCAAGAAATTTTTCAAAACCATCTTACCTTGTCTTAGCAAGATTTGACAGTCTTTTTTCTTCTATCCTGCTTGTCCTATTTGGACATGGTGCATTTTGTCAGTGGTCAATGCATGGGCGGTTCCTTGCCCAAAGGCCAGTTTTGCCAAAAAGAAAACAAGCTCCAAGTGGAGTGTTTTCGGTGCTCAACATTCTCTCAGGAATAGATTGTTGCTACCAGAAGCAGTCATGTCTCACATCAACAGAACCTAAGTTATTTAAATGTCATATTCTATAGCTCTTTGAAGTAGTTGGAGATTACTTATCTGTGCAGAATACAATCTCTATGTATCTAAAGAACCTGATTAGTCTAACTATAAGTATGACAAACATAGGTGACTATTGACCTATAATTCTTAATACCTATATAACTTAAAGACTAAGACTTCATATTAGAATATTAAACAATCTTTAAACAACTGTGCAACAAATAAGGACAATGATCTCAAAATGTGGACATGTATAAGTATCTTGATCAGCGGTAGAAATGTATATTGCAAAATGATAAATATATCCTAAAATTGCATCAATATTCAAAATGTCTTAAGCAGAGGTAGAAGCATACATGCATACAATATGACAAAATAACTTTGCCTAGGTATACAAATATTGTTGATGAAATAGGAACATATTCAATATAATTTAAGTTTCTATCAATATACAAGAATCTATACCAATATAAATTGCCTACAAATAATAGCTCACAAATATTCACTCTATTATTCACTATTATTTTTAGTGTGAGTAAGCACACACTAATCTATTATTCCATCCAATTTCCTCCCTTATTTTTTCAAAGAGATCCCTGAACCTACATAATTTTCCCTAACCCCTAACCCTATAACAGTTATAATCAACCCCAAAATGATGTCCCTAATCCTGAGGACAAACTTTGTTGGGAGAGGGAATGTCGTCTTTTAGAATTACTTCCAGCTGTCATAGGGGTGATGTTCTTTTTATGGGATCCTGTGAAAGTAAAATGATGGTTAAATTTCAAGATTACTGTCTAGTATAATTGCAAATAGTATTCAGTAGGTTTTTTTCTGAGGTTCTTATTTGGAGTTCTGGCCAGAATGTTATTTTAAAAAAGTACACCATTTCAACTAACAAAGTTGGAACCATCTTGAGCAGCTGGTACCCAAAACAGGTCTTATGGTAGCATTGTCAGCATCATGATGTCATACCAGTCAGGTGGAGTTGTTGCTGTGGGACCCCATCTTCTTTCCAGAAAAGATTACTATAGGAAAATTCATTGTTTATTGTGAAAAACTTTATTTATACAGACATTATTTATTTATACAGACATTATTTATACAGACATGTATTCAATGAAAGGTATGATAGAGACAAAAATAGGTATGGAGAAAAGTAAATTTTTTTCTAAATTCATTCTTCTTTCTGTCCCATACCAGATGGCTCCTGACATGAGACAGAAACTCTGAATTTTTTTTAAAAAAAAAACATGCTTGGATTTAGAGGAGGACAGAGCTGTTGTCCAACTACAAAGCCAGCTTTGATTTTTAAGTGAATCATGACTATTATTCTAGTTTAAGTTTAGAGATTCTTATCCTCAGATGACCTGTCCTCATAAATCATAATTCTCTTTGCTTAGTGATCCTATCTGGATAATTACCTTTTCCTCTTTAGGCATATAGATGTCCAGGGTCTCTTGACTTTTTGAAGATGAGTATTTTCCTGCAAAGACAAGAAGAGAACCCTGCCCCACCCTTATGAGGTTTCCTTACCACCTGTATGGTTGTTTCCTCTGTGGATGAGCCATCATTTATTTTTCTCAAAAGATTTCTCTTTTTCAAACTGAATCTTTATTAATTTTGATGGCATCCATAGTTTTTGTTGAAACAAGAGCAAAACTCCTCCCCCAATGTAGCACATCTCCTGGCTTCCGTTGTGAGGTTAACACATCCCTGAAATACACAGGCTGATTTAATTCAGAAGACTTTTCTATTACCCAATGTCTCTCTGCTGCTGTTATTCCATTCTCATTAGCATAAAAAACAAGGTCAATAAAGCATTATGTTATCTATTTCTGGGGGTATTTTCCATCCCTTTCTGTTTGTTGAACATTTATAGCTTGGTTTGATCTTTCTATAACTGCCTGGCCTATAGGGTTGTGTGGTATACCTGTAATATGCTTTATATTATAATAAGCAAAAAAAGTTTTCACTTTTTTTTTTTTTTTGGTTTTTCGAGACAGGGTTTCTCTGTGTTTTTGGAGCCTGTCCTGGAACTAGCTCTTGTAGACCAGGCTGGTCTCGAACTCACAGAGATCTGCCTGCCTCTGCCTCCCAACAGAGACATATGCTGGACCATTATCTGTCTTTATTTGCGCAGGTATACCCATGATTGCCAGGACTTCTAATAAATGTATGATTACTGAATCAGCCTTTTCTGAGCTCAAAGCTGTTGCCCATTGGAAACCTGAATAAGTGTCAATAGTGCAGTATACATATTTTAATTTTCCAAATTCTGCAAAGTAGAACACACCCATCTGCCAGATTTCATTTCTTTGAGTACTCTTTGGGTTATTCCCTGCAGGTAGTGGTGTTTGGTTATAGAAGGAGCAAGTAGGGCATCTCTTTATAATCTCCTTAGCTTATTGCTGTGTAATGGAAAACTCTTTTTTTTTAAAGCTTTGCTATTGAAATGATGCTTCTTATGAAATTCTGAGGCCTTAAATACATTTCCAATTAATAATCAATCAAATTTCTGCATTACCCTATGCTAGAGGACCTGGCAGACCCGTATGGGATCAGATGTGTGTTATGTATATGGAAAAAAAGCTTTTTCCTGATTATATATTGAACCTGTATGAATAATGAAGTCAATTCTGTATCCTCTGGTATAAATTCAGTGGTTTCAGTATGCCCAACAACTCTTTCTGCATATTGTGAATCAGTAACTATATTAAGAGGTTCTTTAAAATCCCCTAGTACCATCAGAATAGCACATAATTCTGCCTTTTGACAGAATTATAAGGGCTTTGTTCCACCTTACTTAAATCTTCTGATTTATAGCCTGCCTTTCCTGATTTATTTGCATCAGTATAGACTGTACAAGCTCCAGTTATTGGTGTGTCCTGTACAGTGTCCAAGTAGTTCTCTTTATAAAGTTAATTCTATCAGTTTGGGGATTATTTCCAATGGCTGATTTACAAAGTAGTGGCATAGGGTGGGGCTATTGAACATTTCCTATGGAAAGACGGTCTACAGGTATCTCCTAGTATGTTGAGAATTATTATAAGTAGGCACTGTGAAGGAAAATTTTTTTCTGTCCTTTTCTTGTAAGGGTATAGTGAAGACACAGTCTTTCAAATCAATAACTACAAGAGGCCATCCTTTTGGTAATAGAGAAGGAATTCCAGATTGTAGAAGACCCATAGGTTGAATTACCTTGTTGACAGCTCTTAGATCTGTCACCATTCTCCATTTACCAGATTTCTTTTTAACAACAAATACAAGAGAATTCAAGGACTGGTTGATTCTTCAATATGGTTAGGATCTAGATGCTCCTGTACCAGCTGTTCTAAAGCCTGAAGTTTATCTTCTGTTAATGGCCTTTGTTTAATCCATATTGGTTTCTCAGTTAACCATTTTAAAAGTAGGGCCATTGGTACCTCTAAGGGTTTGTTAGTTGCTTTGTGTTCTTGTACAGCCTGAATGGCTTGTGACCTTTGTGTATAGTACCTTATAATATCTTTCCCAGAATTATGAGTTTCTGGGACTGCAGGATTATTTTTTTTCCGGCGGACATCTTTATTAACAGATCATCAACTTCTCCAAATCTACAGCTGGAATTTCATCTTATTTCCATGCTGAGTCATGAACAGTGACAAAGCCAACCAGAGGCTACTCAAAGAAGACCAAGCTTTCATAGCTCACTTTCTTCTATAGGCAGAATATAAATAGATGCACTCTAGAATGCACAATGGCTTTAGTCACTATGGAATTTAAATGGGATCTTGAAGAATGTAGACAAATCCCGATGAAGGAAGGACGAGCTGAGATGCTGTGCAACTGTTTAAGGGTTCCTGGTGGTGCATCTCGGTCACTAGCTGAATCTTGCACTAACACCAAATGGAGATGCGGAAAACACACTAAGTTGACTTAGGGGTTGTGCACAGGAACCAAAAGGCAGGAAAATACTAAACATTGCTGAGAGCATCCACCCCAGGAAGGACTTTACCTTCCAGGAGCTCTAGACTGGCACCACCCCCAGTGCTCACATGGCTGACTTTATCCTCTGTATTCCATTTGGCACAGCAAGTGGCAGTATCTCCACTGCCTATGATAGTGATGCAACCCCTAGAAGTGGCTTTTACCA